AGGGAATCGAACTCATGCTGCAGTGGCTGTAGATAGCTTCATAGTGCTGTGTTTAGCCCGTTGCACCACCAGGGAGGGCCTGTGCAATGTGCTCTAACACAGGTGGCTGGGAATGCACAGTTGGCAAAAGCTACCTGGCTTCCAGGAGTTGTTTTCTCCATGGGGGAGGATGATGAGACCTGAAATTTTTTTTTATCATAAAAAAGTGCATGATGTTTTGAAATCATGAGATGGGATTGGGCAGAGGTTGCATGGCAGATCCATTTTAATCTTTTGAGAAGCCACCATTCTATTTTCCATAAGACTTGTCCAAGTATACATTCCTACCAGCAGTCTAAGAGGAGTCCTCTGTCTCCACATCCTCACCAGCATTTATTGTTTCTGGACTTTTTGAGATGAGCTATTTGCACAAGTGTGTGGTGGCATCTCATTGTGATTTTCATTTATAATTCCCTGAAGATAAGTGACATGAGCATTGTTTCATTAGTCTGTTGGCTGTCTATGTTCTTTAGAGAAATGCTTGTTTAGCTCTTCTGCTTTTTTTAATTATCATCATTGGATTATTTGTCTTTGTTGAATTGTATGACTTCTTTGTAGATCTGTAGATCTTGGATATCAGCCCCTTGTCAGATATGGTATGCAAATATTTTCTCCTATTCACTAGGGTGTTTTTTTTTTTTTTTCATCTAATCACAGTTTCTGTCACTGTGCAGAAGATTTTTAGTTTGATGTAGTCCCAATTGTTTTTATTCATTTGTTTTCCTTGTTGCTGGAGAAGAATCCACAAAAGCATCTCTGAAGCCTATATCATGAGGTATTTGTTTATATTATCTTCTATATATTTTATGGTTTTAGGTTTTTCACCCAAGTCTTTTACCCATTTTGAGTTGACTTTTGTGTATGGTATGAGATAGTGTTCTGGTTTCATTCTTTTGCATGTGACTTCTGTTTTCTCAACAATACTTATTGAAGAGGCTTTCCTTGTTCCAGTGTATGCTCTTGGCACCTTTGTCTATAATTTGTTTTTATGTGTGCATACAAGAACTGGGGTTTAGGCTAGAGGTGTGGAGGTGAGAGGATTCATCAGAGACAGTGGGGAGCAGAACAAGCGGATCTTCTGAAGCACACTGAGGGGAGAAGCAGGTGAGACAGGAGGGGTCTGCTATGCCATGTGGGTTAGCTCTCTGCCAGGGGTGAAATTCATTCATGCTGCAGTGCCTGGTGATAGCCTGATAGCACTGAAACTTTAACCTCTGCATCACCAGGGAGGCCCTAATTGACCATAGTTGTGGACTTACTTTGGGTCTCTCAATTTTATTACATTGTTTGTATGCCTGGTTTGGGTCTGGTACCGTGCACTGGTTATCATGGCTTTGTAGGATAGTTTGAAGTCTGGACATGTGATACTTCCATTCTTTCCTTTTTTTTTTTTTTTTTTTTGTCAGAATAGCTTTGGTTATTCAGGGTCTTTTGTGGTTCTATATGAATTTCATAGAGTGTTTGTTCTGTTTCTTTGAAGAATGCCATTGATAGGGATTGCACTGAATCTGTGTATTGCTTTGGGTAGAGTTTTGACAATATTAATTCTTGCATTCCATGAACAGGGAATACCTTTCCATTTCTTTGAGTCATTCAATTTCTTCTAACAATGTTTAATTTTCTTTGTATAGATCTTTCACCTACTTTGTTAATTTTATTTCTAGATATTTGACTTTTTGGTGTAATTGTAAATGGGATTGATTTCTTAATTTTTTCCTCTTCTAGTTCATTGTATATAGGAAGACAACTGGGTTCTATGTATTAATTTTCTATATTGATTTTGCCACTTTGTTGAACTAATTTATTATTCCAATTAGCTTTTTAGCATAGTCTAGGGTTCTCTGTATGTTATCATGTCATTTGCAAAAAAAAGAAATAATTTCTTTCCCTCTATGGATTCCTTTTATATCTTTCTCTTGTCTAATTGCTCTGGCTTAGACTTCCAATACTATATTGAATAATAGTGGTGAAACTGTCCTATACCAATTTTTTAAAATATGGGATACTTCGCAAATTTGTATGTCATCCTTGCACAGGAACCATGCTAATCTTTTCTATATCATTCCAATTTTAGTGTATATGCTGCCAAAGAAAGCATTTTGATGAGAATTTTAGTGGGAAAGCTTTCAATTTTTCACTATTGAGAATGTTGTTAGTGTGGGTTTGTCACATATGGCATTAATTGTATTGAGATATATTCCACTTTTTCCCTAGGTTTTTTTTTGAGGGTTTTCTTCATAAATGGATGTTGGATTTTATCAGATGTTTGTGTCTGTTGATATAATCATTTTATTATTATTATTATCTTTCCTTTCACTGACATAATGAATTGCATCAATTCAGTTTTGGGATGTTGAATCATTGCTTGTGTCTTTGGTATCAGTCCCACTTGGGTATGACAATCCTTTTAATGGATTGTTGAATTCAGTTTGCTAAGATTTTGTTGAGTGTTTTTGCATCTTTGTTCATTAGGGAAATTGGTTATGTAATTTTCTTTTTTTGCTCCGATATTAGACTAGTGTTGGTCTAATAAAATATGTTTGAAAATATTTCCTCTTACTAAATTTTTTAATTGCTAGAGCTCATGTGTGAAACTGTCCAGCCCTGGACTTTTGATTTTTGGGGAGAGTATTGATTACTGATTTGGATTTCTTTGCATGTGCTTGGTCTATTCAGAATTTTTTCCCTATTCATTCTTGAATGGTTGTATAATTCTAAGAATTTTCCCTTGTCTTCTAGGTTATTGGACTTATTAGTACATAAATGTTGACAATAGTCTCTCACTTTCCTCTGAAAATCTGTGATGTGTATTGTAACTTCTCTTTCATTTCTGATCTATATATGGGAGTTTCCCCCCTCATTTTCTTTGTGAGCCTAGCCAGAGGTTTGCCTATTTTGTTTGTCTTTTTGAAATAACCAGCTTTAGGCTTCATTAATCTCTCTCTCTCTCTCTTTTTTAGAAGATTTATTTATTTATGCATATGGAACTGGAGTACATGTGGTGAGAAGACTCACTAGAGACAGAGTGGGGAGCAGAACAGGCAGATGTACTGAAATATACTGCTAAGGGGAGCAGTGGGTGGGTCAGGCAAGGTCTGCCACGCCATGTGGGTCACCTCCTGGCTGGGGATTGAAGTCATGCTGCAGTGGTTACTGTAGCACCACCAGGGAGGGCCCTTCATTAAATCTCTTAACTTGTCTTTTTTATTTCTATTTCATTTATTTCTGTGCTAATTTAAAAATTTTTCTTGTCTTCGGTTGGCTTTTGGTCTTTGTTTCTCCTTCTTTTTCTAATTCCTTGAAGTGAAAGAGAATGTTATTTTTTTTTGCATTCTTGTTTTGTGCCTACATTTTTATATATTTTCCTCTTAGTAGTGTTTTTGCTGTGTTCCATAATTTCTGGGAGGTTATGTCCTCATTATCATTTGTCTAGAGGTATTTTTTTTTGTCTCTTCTTTGACTTCTCATTAACTCGTAGTCATTCAGTATGTAGTTGTTGAGTCTCCAAGTATTAGAAGTTTTGCCTTGTTTCTTTTTATGGTTGATTTATAGTTTGATACCTTCATGATTAGAGATGTATGGTATGACTTCAGTCTTCATGTAATTGTGGGTTCCTGTCGTGTGACCTAATATGTGGTCAATCCTGGAAAATGTGCCATGTACACTTGAAAAAAGTGTGAGTTCTTTTTGGGGGGGCACGATGCCCTATGTCTATCTATCAAGCCTATGTGTTCTAATTCTTGGCTTAAGGCAATTGTGTCCTTATTTATTTTCTCTCTAGTTGACCTATCTATTGGTATAGCAGGGTGTGAATGCCTCCATCATAAATACTTTTCCCCAATGTCTGTTTTCAGGTTTGATGGCAATTGCCTTATATTTTTTGATACTCCTTTAGTTGGTGAATATTCACTGATGAGAGTCATGTCCTACTTAGATATTGCTTTCTTCATCATTATTTATTGTCCATCCCTGTCTCTTGTTACCTTTTTTAGATGGAAATCTCTATTATCTGATCTATGTATGGCTGTCCCTGCCTTCTTCGAGTCCTGCTTATTTCTCAGGACATTCACTTGTTTTTCTAAGTTTTCTTGTATGTCTTTGATAAGCTTTTATGTATTTTCTCCCACTTGCTTGACTTTCTCTATCATGGCAATTGTGACCTCTGTATCTGATAGCTTCTGTTTTGTTGGTTGAATTTAGAGCTGTGGTCCCTTTGTGGTGTAGTATTCCACATGAAGACTCACACTGCTATTTGTTGTGTTTTTGTCTCCCCATTATTTGCTTTCAGGTCTCTCTGATGTTGTCTTGGTGTACATGGGAGGTGACCTTGCACTTGTGCCCGTTTGCAGGGCTTACCTCGGCCACTGATGATGACGTGGCTTGGCTCCGTGCTCACACCTGCTCCAGGATCCCCACCAAGACTGTGTTGCTGTTGGAAGGGCACTTGTTAGGGGTGTTTCTTCACTAGCTTCTGCTTGGGGATCCCTCCAGGGTCACACTGCTGTCATCAGGATACTCCCTGGGTTTACCCCCAAGCTCACTCCCACTTGGGGATCCTATGAGGGGCACAGTGGTGTTTCCCAAGTTCAGCCCCAGGATCCTGCCATCAGCCCACAAGTCTGTGAAAGGTTGCTGTGCCTGGACCTTGCTGGTTCCACTCTGCTCTTCTCTGGAGCTGCAGGGCCCACTAGGGCTTATCCACCTGCCTAGGTGGGCTGCTTCTTTGGTTCATATCCTGCTGACACAGGTCCCTCTCCTCTGGGTAGGACTCCTAGCATGTGCTACCATTGTCTGTTCTTTCAGTTTTTTTTTGTTTTGTTTTTGTTTTTTCCTGCTGCAGTATAACTGCAAGTATGCAGAAGAGATGAGCTTAGCATCTTCACTCTGCATCTCCATCACCTTTCCTCCTGACCTTTACCTTATTCTGGCCTTCACTTTTCTTTTTTCCCTTTGCTTCGTAGGCCACAGAGGAGTCAGCCAGCCTACAAAGCAGGATGGATCTTGATGTGGTCAACATGTTTGTGATCGCTGGTGGGACCCTTGCCATCCCCATCCTGGCTTTTGTAGCCTCCTTTCTACTGTGGCCTTCTGCACTGATAAGAATCTACTATTGGTAAGTTCTATTTATAATAGAAGTTTTCAAGGCTATCATAATCATGTCATCTCTCCTTGTCCTTTTGGTAATTATTAATAGTTTATCATGAAATATTTCATGATAAGGTGTCCTTTTTGGGGGAGCTTTCTTGGCATATTGGTAGTAGGTTCTTCCTAGATAAATTTTCTCAGGTTTCTGATGGTTATTTTATTCGGGAGGCTACCTTTACTATCACAGTCACAAATTCTGTCTTTCAGCAAGTCTTGTGAGTATTTTTGTGAATTACTTTGGTATTTTCTTGGCTATTGGGCTTTGATCCAGTGATGTCCTGACAGATGTGATGATGTGCACTGGGAAATTACTCAGAAAGACTGGGACCAGGGAGATGGCATGGGCAGACAGGGCAGTTTTAGATTTGTTTTAAAAGTGTTCTCTAGTAAAGTGACACAAAGAAATACAGATTTTCAAAGCTTTTATTCTCACATCGCTTTTCTACTTCTTACCCTACTTACATACCACCTGTTTTCTCAAAGGAAAGTTTTGAGCTTTTAGAGAAAATGAATACTTTTATTTAGGATCAAAGGTAAGGGTTGCAGCCCAGTCACACATTCCTAAGCTAAGGTTGGCAAAACCTACAGGGGAAGCTGTCAGTTATTTAAGTTGTTTCTCAAAATTATGATCAGCTACTAGGTGTCTAAGGGGAAAAGTCCATTGTCAGCCACCAGCAGTTTGCTTCCAGCATGTTAGTGCTTTTACCAGTGGGTGCTTTTAAAAGTATTTTCATGGGTATTACAGTCTGTACTTCTCCCTGGCCCTACTTTAAACATCCTTATCAGTAACGGTGCCCTTTTGGAATTTTTGCCTCCACACCCTTCCACTTTTCTTTCATGCTTTCTTCAATCACTTTTTAAAAAAATCTTAAAAAGAAATCTTAACTCAGTTTGAAAACAATAAAAATATTACTACTTTAAGTGGAAAGCATACCATAAGTAGTAACTTCATATTCAAAAGTAAAAGTGATTCAATATCAATAGGCAATGTTCCTAAGTTGTAGCCTATAGAAACTGTATCTCTTCTCTTTACTACAAAGTATAAGAGAAGTGTCAAGGCTGTGGCTGCCCAGGGCAAAACCTTTCTCCTTGATGGAATCAGAAGGTTAACCATTAAAGAGCAACTTTATCTTGATGTGCTTCAATGAGTTTTCATGCCACAGACCATTTGCCAAGTAGAATCACGCCAGTTATTCCCACAGCATGTATCTCGTGGTGAAGAAAATACTGAAACAGACCTGGTGTCAGGGAAGCACATTGCAAGTTAACTGGGACTTCTGGAAGTGAGAACTAACCGTGCACAAGAGAAGTCTGCAGGGGTGTGCTTGTCCCTTTATCTGCCCTTCTTTCTTACTCCCCTTTGTTTCATTAGAGTGGAATTTTCCACCTGTCAGCCAGGCTCTGATCCTTGAAAGGAAGCTAATTTAAAAGAAGGGAGCTTTTCATTTTTCATGCTTCTTGCTCTCTCTTGAGGGAGTGGTGACCCCTCAGAGGGTCACTCAAGACTCACCTCTGCACTGGAAGCTGAGACTCAGACTGCTTTAATGCCATTTCCCTGTGGTGCTGGCAGCGGGAGTGCTGCGGGGTAAGGTCCTGGGGGGGCCCTGCAGAAGCACCATGCAGCGTAGATCACACAAAAATCCCATTTTTCTTAAATCAAGTTGAAGTAGGGACTGCAGCTGAGTGATGTGGGCATAACCATGCATGTGGCTGTGTACACAAGTGTGGTTTCATGCAGGCTTCTCCACCTGCCACACCTTGGAAACCTGGCTCTGGGCTGCATTGTCCTCAGCCTCCAAGTGCCTTGGGCCATGGAGGCTTTCAGATCAAGAGTCAGAATATTTTCGACACTTACTCATTTAATAACCTCTTAAAAATAATTTGCTTTTTTTGAGTAAAAAGACACATCAGGCCCTCCCTGGTGGCGCAGCGGGTTAAAGCACTGCACTGAGAAGCTAAAGCCACTTCCGCATGAGTTCGATTCCCGCCTGCCCCGGAGGTGACCACATGGTGTGGCAGACCTCTCCTGACCCACCCGCTGCTCCCCTCAGCAGTGTGCTTCGTTGATCTGCCTGTTCTGCTCCCCACTCTGTCTCTGGTGAAGCCTCTCACCGCCCCTGAGCCTCTAGCCTGTACCCGGTTCTGTATGTACAAATAAATAAATTTTTAAAAAAAAAAAAAGACACATCACATAAAATTTACCATTTCATAATGGTCTTAATATATTCATAGTGTTATGCTACCATTATCACAATCTGATTCCAGAACATTCCATCTCCCTAAAAGAAATCCCCATACCTGTTAGCAGTTACTCTGTTTTCCTCATCCTTAGCCCCTACCAACTAGTAACTACATTCTCTCTCTTTTGATTTACCTATTTTTGAAAGTTCATATGATTAAGATCATAAAATTTCTGGCCTTTTTTGTCTAGTTTCTCTCAGTATGTTTTCAAGGTTCACACTTATTGCCATCCATGCTGTAGTTTATATCAGTTTCACTCATTATCATGGCTGAATAATAGTCATTTGGTGGTAAACGTCTTATTTACCTAGGTGGGGATTTGCATTCTTTTTTATAATCATCAGTAATGCCACATAACCAAAAAAATAAAATAAAATAAAATCACTTATTAACAAATAATATTGCAGAACCCAAAGAGGCACCCAGAGTAGCAGTTCAGCCCCTTATTCATTGAGAGCACAGATGCATGTGATCAAGAGCCTATCACTCAGCTCAGAGCTGTGGCTGGAGGATAGACACAAGGCTCTTTATTTTTGGAATTCAGGCATGTAGACAACAGGAAAACCAGCTGGTTGGGGAGGCTGAATATCTTAAAAGACCTTTTGTCGGCCCTCCCTTGTGGTGCAGTGGGTTAAAGCACTGCACTAAGAAGCAAAAGCCACTTCAGCATGAGTTCAATCCCCACCCCGGAGGTGACACAGGGCGTGGTAGACCTCTCCTGACCCTTTTGCTCCTCTGAGCAGTGTACTCCATAGATCTGCCTGTTCTGCTCCCCAGTCTGTCTCTGGTGAATTCTCTTACCACCTCTGCACCTCTGGCCTGTACCCTAGTTCTGTATGTATGCATAAATAAATAAATCTTAAAAAAAAACAACACCTTTTGTATTATACCAAGTAGCATTGTGACATGCCTTTGGTTATAAAAATGAAATATTACTATAGCAATGAGTTGTTGAATATCCTACAAATTCTTCCCCTACTCCACTGAAATTCATTGCTTGTTTCTTCTAATTCTCCTTCATGCAGATCACCTCTACACACTGATTGCCATAGGATACACAAGTTATTTTGTTTTGTTTTCTTTTTAAGATTTGTTTTTTATGTATGCATACAAGAACTGGGGTGTAGGCCAGAGATGTGGGGCTGAGAGGATACATCATAGACAGAGTGGGGAGCAGAACAGGCAGATCTACTGAAATACACAGTTGAGGGGAGCAGTGGATGACTCAGGAGAGGTCTGTTGCACCATGCGGCCAGCTCCCTCGCCAGAGATCAAACTCAGGCTGCAGTGGCTGGCATTAGCTTGGTAGCACTGAGACTTAACCCTTGAGTCATTAAGGAGACCCAAGATGAGCAGTTTATCATGAGTTACCTATGTCCCTTAAACATAGCTACTCCTCAAAAAGTCTTCATTTGCAAACACATGCCTTTTGTAGCAACATGGATGGAGCTGGAAAAGATCATGCTTAGTGAAATAAGCCAGATAGAAAAGGAAAAATGCCCAATGGTTTCACTCATAGCAGTATAAAAGACCAGGTGAGAAAATAACAAAAATATGAACAACCATATACCAGAGACATTTTGTGGGGGTGGAGTGGGGAATGGGTTCAAAAACGGGGGAGGGAGGGAAATGCACGGGACTATGGTGGTGGCACAGGGGTGATTTGGTGATGGGAAACCCGCGGGGATTACAATCGAGATGGAAAAAAAAATGTGCAAAATGATGTAAAAATAAACTTTGTAATAAAAAAAAAAGACCAGGCGAGAAAATAATAATAATAATGAACAACTATATACCAGAGACATTTTACGGGGTGGAGTGGGGAATGGGATCAAAAACGGTATGGGGAGGGAAGTGCACTGCTCTATGGTGATGGCACACAAATGATTTGGTGACGGGAAGCCCACGGGGATTACAGCTGAGATGGAAAAAGGCACAAAATGATGTAAAAATAAACGATTATATTGTTAAAAAAAAAAAACCTTCATTTGCTCAACTGCCCCATAATGACCACCAGTGGGGTCACCCTGAAAATCTGGGTGGATAGGTTAATTTTCAGGATTACTAAGCAGACAAGAACAGCAGGCCATAGAGGTAGCTGGGCACCCAATCCTGCCCTCACCTGCACCCCCATCACCCTGCCATATGAATATAAAGGTATAGTGAAATGATCTCTTTGGACTGGCTCCTGGATTTCCCTTTGGGATCTTCAGAGCTCCTCACAGAATGAACAGGTGTCCCTGGTAGACCACAGCTGGTCTTCAGAGCAGCTCTCTCTAGATCTAAGTGTCCCTGGAGCATGGCCAGTTCATTTCCACAGCAACGTGTACTAAAGTTGTTCTTGAAGAAGGCACAAAATGCTTTACAGTGACTCAACAAAGAGCTTCAACTGGAGGAGCTATAACCATTGTGGATGTCATCAAAGCCAGCTATGATTTTCATATATAAAATATTAAGACTATTCGCAAGATAGAAAAGATACATTTTCTAAGATATTTATTGTCCCAAAGGAACTCAGTTGTGAATTCAAGACAAGAAATCATAAATATAAGAGAAAGAAAGGGATAAGAATTTGAAAAGAAGAAATAAAGCTGACAGGAACTGTGTCGCCTCATGGGCTGGCAGTGTTGGGAGAGTGTTAAATGGAGGAAAGATAACTCAAAGTCCAAGTAGTGAGAGAGAGAGAGAGACACACGTAGAGAAGCTCACACCTATGGAGAGGCAGCA